GTGAAAAACTTGTTGCATCATTCCCAAAAAGACTCATGGCTGTATTAGCTCAACAGGGTGCTTCTACTAAATACTGAGCAAAGGGTCTGAATACTTATGACCATGTGATATTTCAGTTTTTCTTTTTTAATAAATCTGCAAAAATGTCAAACATTCTGTGTTTTTCTGTCAATATGGGGTGCTGTGTGTACATTAATGAGGAAAAAAATGAACTTAAATGATTTTAGCATATGGCTGCAATATAACAAAGAGTGAAAAATTTAAGGGGGTCTGAATACTTTCCGTACTCACTGTACTGTAGTTCAAGGGTATAGTTTGCAGTAAATGTTGCTGACTGTTCACACTGCAACATTGCAAATAGAAGTTCCCTGTCTGCTTGGTAGCCCTTACAGCTGACATGCTAAAATGTTTCCTCTACTCTTCCAATTCATTGTTCTTCACCCTACTGTTGGAGCCAGCCAGTATGGCTGATCTCAGGAGACAAAGCCATGGATGTGGGGTTGCAGCGTACAATCGTGTGTAATTCAATGCAACACTTCCGCCTTAACATCTGTGTTTATGAAGCTCAACATGTTTCAGTTTTTGGTGAACTTTTCATAAATGTATAAATTCAATTATATGTTTATTATTGAGGTCATAGTTAAAGGTGGTGGTGTACTAGACTACATTATATTTAGAGGTGTCTCTATATTTTTGTCTTACCCAGCTACTTACATGAGTGGGTCAGAATATTAGGAACACCTCTGAATACAATGCACTGAATTGCATACAACTGTAGAGGTGTACCTAATAAAGTGGCCTGTGAGTGTATATGAAACATGTCCATATATGCAAACTCTGACTGTACATAGCTATAGCGTGTGCATCCTGGACATGCACATGCCTTATGCTTCCTGTTGATGTAACCATTAGTCAGTAAAAGCGCAGTTTATGATTAACGAAGAGTGCCAAATTAACATTAGTCTAGGGTGACTGGTCTTACAATTGGCATGAATAATCTTCATGTGTGCCGGATCATGTACTTTAGAAAAAATGACAATATATCAAGCATAACGAGGGAATGAAAAAGGTCATTGAATGAATGAGGTCTTCAGATGGACTCTGGCACCACATCAATAAGCAAAAAAGTTTATTTGGGACAGAGCGCCTCACGTGACCTGCGATTTCGATTGTACCCACGGTGCCAAATCGCAGCAGCGCACAGACAACCGCTAACATACGGGGCTCGGTAAACTGCGCATGCACTGTGTTTTTCCGTTCCGCGCCTGCTGCAGCGTTCAGCTTGGGGCTCTGCCTCTTTGCACATTATGTTTGTTCACTACAGGGCTGTGCAGACCCGCTTTCCCTTGAGAGTTTATGGCCCGATGTACCCAGCCATTTCTTCTCTTCCCGCCTAACCATTGTGGCTGCGTTTTGAAGGAAAACGTTGACGCTCTTGTGGTTGGTGAGTATTTGAAGATAAAAAAAAAGGTTGGTTGTTGAGCAGAGGCTGCTCCATAAGACGCGGTAGCTATCTTAACGTGAGTTTTTCCTTTCTCCGGCCTTCCTCTTGAACGTGGCCGACCACCTCCCTCGGTTAGCTTTCACTAGCGGACCTTCAGATGTATTTGAACGACACCGAAGGGGATATGTATGGTAGGGTTAAATATCCTACCAGTTGGTGAAAAATGCTCATGTGAGAAGCTCGTTAGCCTGAGGTTGGAGCTTGTTAAAGCGATACCAGTGGTGTGTGTGTGTGTGTGTGTGTGTGTGTGTGTGTGTGTGTGGAGCGGTGTGTGTTTGCAGAAAAAATGACATAGCTGCATTCGTTAGCAGTGTTCCTAGAATTAGCAAGATAGCGTAGCATAAGATTGCTAATATTCTGGTGGCGGCTTTGTTAACAAACGGTTCTATTCGTGTGTCGTTGTTGAAGGTTCTCCTAACGTTTCATGGCTTTCAGGCTTGCGGCTGAGCACGTTGTCATTTTCTCAGTCAGAGTAATGGAAGCTCCATATACCGTGTTCACATATTTTGAACCACCGTTGTTAGGGTTTACGAATTTAACTTCTGTTGTGGTCCTGTTTTCTTACATTACTCAAGTTGACAGTTTGAATATGTGTTCTGAATTGTAAATAGATGACTCCAAAAATGACCCAAAATGGCTGACATCTTCAGAGGGACAACAACTTTAGTTGGGCTCAATATCATGAAAAATCGTAATTTACTGGGGGTTATACGTATGGTGGTGGAAGAACACTATGCTCGATATAAATGTTTAAACGATTCCCAAGTATGACGATATGTTATGACAGCTAACGTTACATTACCACATTTCTGGTAGAATTAGAAGTAATACTATTGAACTGTCCTTAGTTTAGCCATTGTGTGATAAATCTGTGTAACAGGGCATTGTTAAAGCATCCTTAAAGTGGCTATGGCATGCTCATTTTGCTTATCTCCAGCCATGTTTGATCTTAGACACCTCTAGATTAGCTTTGTGCCCTTTATAACTCCAAATAGTCTGTAATTATTTCAGAATGATAAAACCCGAGAGGATAGTTCGTGAACATGCGCAAGTCTTCCTGCCAGTGTTGTCGAAACGCATCTCAACATGGGAACACTTTTTGACACAAGACCTGTCAGGAAGCTAGGACAGTGCATAAACAAAAACACTGACAAATAAGCAGTGTTTTTAATAATGACAACACCTCAAATCCTACCTGGCATGTTCGTGCCAGAATATGAAAGTGGACAGCATCATGAACCGCAAAACCATTAATTAAGATGAATTTCTCCTCCATAGATAGGTAAACAAGGGTATATGTACTGATGAAAAGAGATGTGTAACACTCTAAACAAAGCCGGTATTTGAGAAACCCATATTTTAACTGGCATAATATAGACATAGTAACTTCTCCAGCTGTACAACAATTCTCTGTGTAATATTACAAAAACAAGGCATTAGCAGACATGCAATGTGTTTTTTTTTTTTTTTTTTTTTTTTTTTTTTTTTTTTTTTTTTTTTTTTTTTTTTTTTTTTTTTTTTTTTTTTTTTTTTTTTTTTTTTTTTTTTTTTTTTTTTTTTTTTTAGGAGGGAAAATATATCCACCAAATAGGGCGCGGTCAAAAAATTCGCTTTACAATGGTGGATGTCAGGCAAGCTCACATGAATATGCCATCTACCTGGAGATTATGACCATTCAAGGAAATCTTTAAACTATCACGTAAGACTTTACATTGTTGGAAAAAAAAAATGCTCGTGAGCGAAACTTTGTGAGACCTGTATAAACCGAGTTGCTTCTGCATGGAAGTACTGGAACATACATACAACCTAATTTTTTGAGCTTTAGGTCATGTCTAAGACGATGATTCACCGTTGTAACATTGTAGATAAGACAAAACAAGGAACAGCATGCCATGGGCTCCTCAAACAAGTAGAAATGATCTTTTATCTATTAAATTGAAGTGACTTACACACTGCACATATTATTAACCCCATATTATGATACTTTTCATGCAGGTGATATTTCAAAAGTTATGGTATAAGCCGCCTCACAGCAAGAAGGTTCCAGGTTCAAGTCCCAGCCGACCCGGTTCCTTTCTGTGTGGAGGTTGCATGTTCTTCCTGTGCCTACGTAGGTTCTCTCCAGGTACTCCGGCTTTCTCCCACAGTCCAAAGACATGCAGCTTAGGTTGATTGGCACCTCTAAATTGCCCATAAGAATGAACGTGATTGTGTGTGGGCGTTTGTCTACACATCAGCCCTGAGATAGACTGGCAACCTGTCCAGGGTGTACCGTGCCTCTCGCCCAATGTCATCTGGGATGGGCTTCAGCTCCCCCGTGACCCTGTTCAGCAATAAGCAGTATAGATAATGGATGGTAGGATGGTATAAGCCTAGTAAAGAACTATTAGTGATTGAGAAATGTTTTCTATCACAAAAAAAAGCAGATGCATTTTAATTCTAATCATAGCATTAAGGAAATTATGTACAATTTAAATTTTTATTTATTTATTTTTTATTTAATATTCATTCTTTGGGTAGATAATCTGTTTTTCAATTTTGTTCAAATATCTGAAACGGCAAGATGTTTTCAGTGCTGATGTTGTCCAGTGATGAAGAGGAAAGAGAACAAATAGACAGCTTGGCCTACTGGTACCTGCATCTCTTTAAATGGAGCAAATCTTCAAATATGCATTACTCAGATAGACCGACCAGATACTGTAAATGTAAATGGTTAGTATTCCTCTATAGATATAGCCTAAGTCAAATGTGAAATGTATTTACAGCCTTGCTGAGAATTTGAGTTATTTTCTCAGTTGATCCAATGCATTATTTAGTAACAGGGAACGGGGTATTAGCAGCAGGTTGCCAACACTCAGTCCAACTACTAACAATGAGCCAAACTTACAGTAACATTACAAATGCTTTCTCAGCTGAACCTAAGCCACATTTTGGTAGATCTGACCACCTAGCAATCCAGCTCAAACCTGCTTACACCAAGACTCAAGGCGAAACCAGTCTCAGAAGAAGTCTCTGCCTCATGAGATGAGCAAGTGACAGACACATAATGATGGTGTCCTGGAGATTATGTTTGCTCTCACTGTAGAAATGGTGTACATGTATGCATAACCTGCTTATTTTGCAGTCGCTCCCAGTGTGGCCTTGGGAAAAAAAAGTCAGTTGCACCTTGAATAAATTTGGTTGCAAAATGTAATTGATCACTCGCATTCTGGAGCCCTGAACTGTGTTGCTTGTCATTTGGTTTAATACAAATTGGCAGGTTTTAGTGAATTTGACGCCTTAGTTGAGACACTTTAGTCTCCATTTTGGGATCAAGTTACCATATTCATTAGTGAAACTTGTATAAAATAAAAGCCGTGTATATATCCTGCCGGTAGAAACAGCAGAAAAAATTGTTTACAAACAAAGTTGTGAATATTTTCATTTGGTAACACCATTGTATTTGTTTCGTGTGATTTACAGGAAACTACCTTGTTTGACCAGGACACCTAAATTGCTTTGGCTGCCATGATGCTTGGGTTACAAGGAAATGCCTCATCCTCCAAAGTGTATCGTTGTGTGGCATGTTCTGCCACCTTCACTGGACTGGCGTCCTTGCTAGTGCATCAAGCAACCCATGCTGGTGCACTCGCCAAGGTCCCTGCCCCTCCTCCCCAGCCTAACATCAGCCCACATGAAACACCGCTCCCAAGGACCGACTCGGTCAGTGAGCACCCCAGTCCACCACTCTTGCCTGAGAGCCCTTCACCTTCTTTTTATATTTGTGATTGTGGACAAGAATTTCAGGACTTTAATCTTATGCTAGAGCACAAGCATTCACATATCTCTCAAATACAGCTACTGCAGCCTCTGGACAATAATATTCTTATCTCTAGTGGATCAGGTGATGGTAATGTTTTTCCTACCCAGCATGTATCATTCAGTCCCACTGTAGACCAGCTAGGTTTGGTCCTTAGTTGCCCGTCTACATCGAGGTCTCCAGCTGTCGAATTACTCACATTAAGTGACCGTGACCGTGAAGCAGATGCAAGTCTTGGGGATGACCCTGCCATAGAAACCACTCCTAAAGTTCTGTGTCCACCCCCTCAAGATGAAAAAGATGAGGAACAAGTTGAGAACACATCAGTCACACCAGAGCAAATACCAGAGACTGTAGAGGACATGGAGGACAAAACAAAATCTGTTTTCAGTGGGGAACAGGGTGAGTGTTTGCCCAAAAATAACACACTAATGAAATTGCTAGCTTCAGCATACATGAAGAGCTTTTCACTTCCTGAGTCTCAGAATCAGAATGATAGCGCAGTTACTCCCAAGCAAGAAGTTGTTCCTGTTGATATAACACCAGGGGCAAAAATTGATGAGCCCCCAGTCAACGATCACTCTATTGCACAGTTGAGGCGACTGGTTGCAAAACCTGGTATAACGACCAAAGCTCCATCCATTACCAGAATTTTGGAGAACAGTAAGAAGAGGCTTGTTTCTCTGACTAAGACTTTGTCACCTGTTGTAGTTCTTGAAACCCGTCAAAAGCTCATGGATCCTATGGGTAATGGTACATACGGGACATATCAATGTGGCCGCTGTCGTAGAGTCTTTCAGAATTTGGGCAGACTTACAGAGCATCATTTCTTGCATAAAAAGGAGAGGATTAAATGTTGTCGTCGCTGCAAACAACTGATCATTGGGCGGCTTCCTCTACCTGACAATCACATATGCCCTCAGTTAGGAAATAAGGCCATACAGCCCTCAAGCTCTTTAAAAAACTCTCTACCATTTGCCCCAAAAATAGTGCCATTCCATAGCCTTAAGAACACAAAAAAAGTTTTCTTTTGTCCATTGTGCAAGCACAGCTACGCACGGAGGTGGAACCTCAAAATGCACAAGTGTCAGGGCCCAAGGCCAGCCCTCTCTCTGCAGGCTAATCACCCCAGTCAGAAAATGATAGTACTGAGATCCAACAGTAATGACAAATTGAATGCACAGGATAAAACTGGATCTCAGCTCACTAATAATGTTGCTGTGGGCACTGAGGTTACTAGTCGTATAAAGGTAGAGGTGACGTCTCCAAAGTCGGGGCAGCCTGCAGTTTCACAGTTGGCCTGGACTCCTCCAGCACAAAGCTTCTTGCCATTCTATGCTAAATCTTCAGTGATGGAGCAGCACAAGGATGCCTCTCTGTGTGGGACTTTGCTCCAGCAAGAAAATGAAAACAGCTGGGGTGCAGCATCGGTTGAAAACAGCAGTGAAGGGCAGTGGACAGTGCCCTTGGATGATGAAACTGAAGTGCTTAGCTCTGCAGAGAGAGCTGGTGAAGATGAAGAGGTGAAGAAGTCGGTGTCAGCCGAACATGCAGATACAGCACCCCCTAGCCTGCGTTATTTTGTCACCCATGGTGTAAAACGATACCCTTGCAACAGGTGTCAGAAAACCTACAGTAGAGAAGATACCTTGAGACGGCATCTGCGGCTATGTGGATTCAGGCCACGTGGACCTGGGACTGTAGCACAGAGCGATGGTCAGGGTGCATTTCTGCTAAATGCCAACAATATGAAACCAATGTTTGCTTGTTTTGTATGTGGAAAGACATTTAACCGCAAAGACAACATGATGGTTCATAGAAAAAGGTGTCAGGTGCAGCGGACAATGGCACAAGTAAATAGAGGGGCTGTGCAACAGAGTTTGTCTGGTAACGCAACTGACTGTAAAACCCAAGAGGATGAAGGTGGCAACTGGGGCATCATGTCACTACCCTCTGTCCTTCCAAGAAGGGTGACATGTGAGTGTGGGGTCGGATTTACCTCTCCAAAGCTGCTCCTGGAACATCTGCAGAAACATGCACAGGAATCATACACATGTCCAACTTGTGGAGAGACTGTTAACTCCTGGGCAGACTATGAAGTTCATCTACAAATCCATATGCATCCTCATCACCAGCTGCTGAAGGGACTACAACCGCAACGATCACAACCTCTATTACTACGGTTTCAACAACAGTCACCCCAACAGCCACTGCAGTCAGTGCAGCAACCTCCACAGAAGCCACCACATCCAGAGCAGCTTCCAAATGCCACAAAAAAACGGATTGTATGCACACGATGTGGCAACACCTTTGCTTCTCGCTGCTCCCTACGAAAGCACCTAACCTGGAATCGATGCAAAGGTGGGCAGGTCACAAATCCACCAAAAACCTATCGCTGTTCCCACTGCAACTCTGACTTTCCGAACACTATTAGTCTGATATTTCACCAGAGGAGTGGGGTTTGTAACCCCACCACCAAGCCAACGCGTTGTCCTGTTTGTCTTCGCTGGTTTGGCACTGTGAGCAGTCTGCAAAAGCACCTGCTTTCTCACAAACAGTCTGAATCATATCGCTGTGATGTGTGTCAGGGTACATACCCAAGTCTAAAATCCCTCAAAAACCACCGCAGGAGGATTCATCGCATCCTGGCTGGGTACACTAAGGGACAAGCACAAGAACAGTCGACTTCTTAATGATACTGAAACATGTTAAATATTGGAATGGTGCATTAAGAATGGTTATTTCCATATTTGCCAGTTGTATTTTTTTATTTTACTTTCTAGGAGTTATTTTCACATTGTACACAAGGTGTTTTATTTTTACTTTTAAGACTGTCATAGTAGCTTGCCACTGTAAAAACTAAAGCTTTGATATACTTTACATTTGAATTTTAATAAGTTGGTTCCTATAGTACAGAGCCTGGTTGTGCTGTAGTTTGAGTATTTGGTGATCAGATTTTTACCACAGTGAATGTGACATAGCTTGTTGTTGTCGATTCTCGTGTTAATAAACACCAATAGTGGTATCTACATTCCATCAATTTGTGTGATTATGTAATCTAATATTTTAAAGGCTTCAAGGCAAAGATGCAAGATTAACACCAGAAAATTGTATTTTAAACAATGTTTTAACATAAACTATCATCTCAGGGGTATCAAAACTGAGCAAGGTTTGTTTGATTCAATGGTCTGACTGTCAATAACTGCAGCTAGCAGAGGCTGGAGTTGCTCTTCTGTCTGTGCTTCAGGGCTAGGGTTTACTCATCAGAATTATGAGCAACTGTCAATCCTGCATTGTTAGGATGTTTTTAATTAATATGAAAAAATGAATGTTACAAGGAAGTGAAGTATGTTAGAAGGAATTTGTTTCCAGTACGGAACTGATGGCAGCCATCTGTGGCGCCAACTCTAACCATCGAGGGCAACAGGGGGGTTCAGTGTCTTGCCCAAGGACACCTCGGCACGTGGACTGCCGGCACCGAGACTTGAACCTCAGCCCTTGTGGTTGGGAGACGACTGTGCTACCCACCGCACCCCTATAAATGTATATATGAAGAGGCAAATTATAGAGTTGTTGGTGTGAATAAATGCATTTAGAAAGTGATTTTTACAAACATACACTGGCATTTATGAGTTCTATTAGGTTGAAGCTGTAAATCCTGGGAGTCAAGTACTGTGCTGACTGCATCAGCAGTGAAGGTGCTGGTGAAAATATATCGACTAGACAATGACAAATCTTTTGATCATTTGACCTTGTACTCCCAACAATACAAACTAATGGGTACAGGATTTTGTCCATTCTATCAGATGGGTGTATAGGGAGACGTTTGGGTATTTGGGCAAATGTAATAAATTCATTACTATGTGATTTACCATGTGCACAAGATTTTAGTGTGCATTTACATATAGAGGGATTTCATTTTTTGGCAATTGTGTTCATTTGAATTATTGAGACCAGTGCTTAATCCCAACCAATATCCAGTAAATACAGCAATGGTCTGATGTGTAAAATATGATAAACTAAATGTATTGTTTTGAATACTATATGATACCTCACATTATCTAATTCTTCCATATCCCATGGGACTGTAACTACTGCATCAATTTTCTAAGGCTAATCGTGACCTCCAGTCGATAGGTGTCAGTATAACGGAAGAAAAACCCGGACGTTTTGTCTAGAAATGCGCGCATCCGAAGAAGCGGCGAGTTTTTTTTTCTTTCTTTCTTTCTTATATCGTTTTAGTGGGGCTGCTTGTAACCTGGTCGTGCCAAACGCCGGCTAGTTTACACAATCTTTAATTTCCTCATAAAATAACAACCTACTAGCTGTCTGCGGTGGATATACCCGAATACTGATACAGCGGCATTTTGATTTTCATGTGAAAGTAAGCTGACGTTATTGAGTATGAGATTTTTGAGGCTAATGTTAGCATAGTAGGCTTGTAGCCTAGCAAAGAATCGCGCGTTCATTTAAATAACACCGTTATAAATGATAAACTTCACTAGCCGAAACGCTTTTATGTGTAATTGTGTAGAAAAAAACAATATCAATTATACCATCATAATAGTTTTTAGAGGAATCGACCTCAAAATCTGAGGTAACGTTAAAGAGTTCGTTAGCTTGTCTCAGAAGTTTAGACTTCAGTTCAGATACAAGTAATGTTAAACGTTATACTGAGACTATAAGTGGCTTTAAGATTGATAACAGTCCGTTCCCAGCTTAGCATGCAGTTAATTTTCTGCATTTAATATTAACGTTAGCTGTAGCATAACTAGCTCCTCTGAGCTGAATGGTGTTGTTCACTGTTACTTAATGATGTAACGTTATAACTGGACCGAATATTTGACTAATTCACTTGTGTTCTATATTTCAACTGTATTTTATATTTGGCTAACTCACTTGTGTTCTGTGTTTCAACTGTGTTTTATATTTGGCTAACTCACTTGTGTTCTGTGTTTCAACTGTGTTTTATATGTCTAACACGTGTCTCCGTCTGCAGGAAGGGTGCTCGAGAGGGCTCCAAATCAACAATGAGCACATCCATGCCTAGCATGATCATGGAGAGAGGATCGCGGAACCCGCAAAATGTCCTGAATGATGGCTTAGGCAGAGACTTGATGAATGCGGGCCGGTTTTGTTTCAGCTGTGAGCAGATATTTGCAAATCGGCGATGCCTGGAGGAACACGTATGTTCTGCTGCAAGTCACATATGCTCCTGTGGAACTGAGTTTAGTGAATACAAAGACATGCTGGAGCACAGCACCACACATGAACCAGGCCACCAAGTGCTTGATCATGAAACAATAAGGAAGCGTAGAATTGAGAAGCGCATAGAAGAGGAAGAGAAGCTGAAAAGATTACAGACAGGTGAAGTTGTCTGGCAGCCACCAAAACTGAACCATGTGCCATCAATTTCTTTGTCAGTGAAGCCTATGCTACAAGTGCCCATTACATCAGATCGTATGTTACAAGTGCCCATTACATCAGTATGTTACAAGTGCCCATTACATCAGCTCGCATGTCACAAGTTCAGGTGCCGCCTGCCCAAATTTCACAAGTGCCTAAGTTGTACCCCTCTATGTCACAAGCATCTTTTTTCCCAAATCCTGTCAGCTCTACAACAGACATGCAGAATATTTTTGCAGGTGTAGGTGCACCAACAGTGGATCTTTGGACGCTTTACCAGCCAGTAGTGTTGTTGCGCACGGTGCGCAAGTATAACAGGAAAAAGCCGTATTCTTGTGGTAAATGTGGGCAGTGTTTTTTGACAAAGACTAATCTAATTTCGCATCACAGCTCTCATGTCACTGATAAAGTTTCTGGCTGTGTAGGATGTGGTCTGCTGCTCTCCAGCAAGAAGGTAGTTCCTCGCTTCCATGTTTGTAACTCACCCAATACTACTACCAAATTCAGACTTGTTACTGCGAGACCCCCAAGTTACAAGAGAGTAAATGTAGCTGTTACAGATACAAGCCTGAGTGCTCAGGGGCCTCAGGCCACTTCCTCTCTACTTTTGAAAAGCCAGAATCTCAGTGCAGTTAGTAAAGACAGACAGACACCTCATGTCACTTCCACCCTGCCATTGACAAATGAGAATATCAGAACGTATAGTAAGAGCAATCACAGGCTTCATGCCACTCAATCCCTGCAATCTGAGAGTCCAAAGCCTAATGCATCAAAGTCTATCAATGTCTCCCTTCCCTCAAAGAGTCAAAATCCCAGTGCATCAAGTAAAAGCAATCAGAGGCTTCCTGACACCCCCTCCTTACAATTGAATACACCCACAAACTGTGCTTCATCCTCTAGACCAGATTGGTTCACATGTCGAGTCTGTCATCTTCCTTTTGAAACTGCTCAGCTGCTTCAGAGGCACAAGTGTATCAAAGCCAAGGAGTTTATGGCACAGCATGGGCTAGGCAGACAGCAATACAAACTAAAGAGGGTGACACAAGTGGCGAGCCCAATTTCTGCTCATATGAATGGTGTGAGAAAAGTTGGGATCCCAGCTCCTGGTAACATAAGGAAAAGCCAAGTCATGGCTATCAGTCTGGACAAAGGGCAAGGTGCAGTTCCTATGAACAGGAAAGCAGAAACGGATAGGGACGATGACTGTTACATTGTTGAAGGTGGACCAGATAAACCTGCTGAAATGATTTATCAAGTTACTTCATCTGTTCCTATTAAAACTTGACAAAACTAGAGAGCCACATCAAATTTGCATGTCACATTTTATGTTAAGGACCAAGTGCATAAATATGGCCATCTCCTGGTTGAGTGAGATGTACTTGTTTTGGATGAACTTGGTGCCCCTGCAATGGTTACAGAAATTGTGAATCTATAATGTTCAATTGCAAAATGTATGTGCATGGTTTTCCTGTTTGGTGAGAGAACCAGATACTGTATTATAGAATTTTTTTTAATGCTTTAGTATGATCCAAATATGTTGTGAGGCTGTGGGAATTTAGCACAAAACCTATGTTCTCAGCTTTGTCACACCACACAAATACTGCATATGTTGTATTAAACTATATTTTCAAACTTGCTGTGTGTGTATTACTGAGGTAATGCAGCATCTTTTGTTACCAAGATTATTCACATGATAAATCTAATGTAAAGTGCTTTTAAGCTAAGAGCAGTACAGCTACATTTCAAAGGATATGTAATACTTAAATAATTAAGTGCAGTATATGCAAATAGGTTTATGAAGTGTGGTAGTAAAAACAATATTTAAGGTCATTAAAATATTACACATTCAAACAATAATGCCAAAGTGTGTGTATGTTGTGAAGCATTTGATTTGGTGGCCAAAAAAAAAAAAAATGAATCAACTATTTGTGTTCAGTTACACAAATGTAAGATGCCCTTATCTAGACTTTATATGTATTTTTGTATAGTATATTTTTCCCAATTTATTTCTTAAAGAATGTATATATTTTTGTTATGTTTAATTAAATTCGTGCATAATTTCTTAATGATTGCTGTATTTCTCAATTTAAGGCAAGGAAAGCCCCTTTCCCCTAGTATACTATTAAGGATCTCTTGTGTGTGCCCCAGCAAAGGGGGCCGTTTCAAAGCAAAAACAAGGCGATGTTTGTGTCCATTTATGATAAAGTAAGATATACTCTACCTGCCTGACATCCAAATATGTGGATGCGACCTTCACTTACTGGTTGTGTACTTGCTATGTACAAATTATTTTTATGAGCATCAGCTGGTAAGATTCTTGTTAAGACTACAAAACTGTAAGCGGTGGATTTTATAAGAAATGGTACTAAATCTGCTGCAACGCACCGACGGCAGAACTAACAGTGTCATGCGTATCATTGAAAGTTGCCAATGAGAATTCATATTTTTGTGTCGTATTTCTCACTTTACGTTATTAACAAAAACTCTTAGTTCCGAAATTTCAGATGACATTTGAAGTATACCCCGTGTGCTCTCGGCGTGATTGACACTTTTTCGGGTTGCTTTGTGCGTTGATATCTGGTGGCTCGCTGCCGCAAACTCCTCAGAAAAGAAGACAAAGCCAGGTCCACATTAACAGCGAAGCTCCCACATCAGTTTATGCTTGTAAAAGTGTGAAACAGCCACGTATCGACAGAGCAAATGTTAGCTTTGGGCTAGCCAGTGAGTGCTAGCTACGGCTAACTAGTTGAGCAGCGGTCAGTGCATGGCTACGCAGAGACAAGTTTTGATTCTCCCACACAGGCAAGCACTTCGTGTTTACTACCACCCATCACATTTCAGAATCAGTCTCGAGAGGCAGCATACAAACGCGTTATTAGCGTTTAAGAAAGTCGTATGAGATGACATTGCAGTTGGCGGGGATGTTTGTATGGCCTGTAACGTTAAACAAGCGGAGCTAGCAATCTGGCCTACCCAAAGATAAGGCTTACATGGAGTATGCAGTTGGTAGCTTATAATCATAACTGATAATTGGATGTTGACGCAGTCGGCGCTGCCATAGGTGTTTAAAATACATGTTAAGTGACCCCATCGGACACGGTATGTCTCTCTGGGTGTGTTTGTGTGTGAGCATTGGGGTCATAATCAGGAAGACTATCAGATTAAATGTGTCTGCATGGCTGGGATTAGCAAAGTCCTGTCTGTCTGCAAACTAGTGGGGTAGAGGGTGCATTCCCTGTTAAATACAGTTCACACTTCTAGTGCATTACAATCTGCAACACCATATTGTACTCGGAGCACAGAGTATAAAGTATGCTTTCAGGCCAAGAGGTGTTTCAGCTTGTGAAAAAAGTGGTGGGCTAAGGAACTGGAACTGTTCACTTAGGTAAAATTCGCAGTATTGCAGTATAGCACTACTCTATTAATGGTTAAACTCCTGCATGGAGATTGTAATTAAAGCTATTGAAGTATTATCAACAAAATATAACAAAATGTTCATCAACAGCCCCTTTCAGATTATTTCACTATTTTACTTTACTATTAAATTACTGTTTTATTTTATACTTAGTAGTTTATTTACTGATGTCTTAATATGTAAGAAGCAGTTTAATGTTGTAGTGGTTTGTGAAGACATTTTTTAACTATTAAAGAGACTACGAGCTTCAAGTTTCATATAAATGTAGTGGCAAAAAATTACAATATTTCTCGCAAAAATGTAGTGAAGTATTAGGCAACCTGGAACGATTCACATAAAATTTCAAGTACCCATCCATCCATCCATCCAGTCTCTGACACTTAGAGACAGACAACCACACTCACTTTAGCAATTTAGAGTCATCAGTCAACCAAAGCTGCATGTCTTTGGACTGTGGGAGGAAGCCTATTACCCGGAGAGAACCCACGCAGGCGCAGGGAGAACATGCAAACTCTGCACAGAAAGGCACCGGGTCTCCAAATACCCCAGAACTGTATTTAACTGCATTTAAGTTGATTGCTTCAGTAAAAGTAACTTCACAGTCATTTGATAACCATGCATTATGAAAGTTAGGAATGATGTTCTTGCAGGTCTCCACCATTTCCTATGAAATGAATAACAAACTCTGCTACTTGACTGTTTTCCTGGATAGGTTTTGATTAAGGAATCGCTGACAAAGTTTTCAAATGTTGTGGACAGCTGTGAAATCTGGAAAATCAATTAACATAAATCTGCAATGTTAAGTAAGTTATAGAAGTTATAAACTGGCCCAGTGATTGGTTACAGCTGCGTCCTCTGTGTCCAGATTTGAATCATGGTTCATTTTAGACACCTGTACTTGCATCACTAATGTAAAACACTTATGGCACTTTAATCAACAGACACAACCACAGATAGACCCCAAGTGGTGCTCAAGCACCTGCACTTTTACCCTCTCACTTGATAAGTGCCCTTTTTACAGGATAGGCTCTTTAGGCAAGGTGTTGTGACATGATAGTTTTTTGCTGTAGGAATACATGTCATTGTTTTTATCAGTTACAACCTCCTTGTCATTGTTTAATCCACAGACTCTTGACATGGGGAGTAAAATGTCCTTCAGCAGAAGAAGCAGTGACCAAAATACAGAGTCTGAGTTAACCTCTGTGACACCCCATCCTCGCAGTTCGATTCATGCTCCTTCAGACTGCAAGCAGGTAGCTAGTGAGTCAAATAGGCATAGAGCATCCCCCAGAGGTTATGTTGCCCATTACAGTATATAGCATAATTTCTAGAGTAACTTTTGTAAATGGAATATAGAAGTATTTTCTGCATTTAAACATCTAAACCTGAAGGGCTTACTGAATATGCTTGCAATACTTGTTTGTTTTTAGTAAAGCTTTTGAGGATGTAGTGTGTCTTAAATCTTTTTAATACTACTGGTACTTTCAGCTGTTCTTTGTTTAAATTGTACTTTTTAATTATAATGCCATGTTTTACTAGGTCTTGTGTCATCTGAAGGCTGTACATATCTTCATATACAGCTTTTAATTACACAATTTGATTCTGTTTTGAGTGATGGTTTTATGTGTCAAAACATTTTCTATCATAAGGCAATTGAAACATGGGATTGTGTTCCCAGTTCCAGTGACAGCATGACTTTGCAGATATTTTGCTAAAACAATGATCATGGTATTGCAAACAATCCTGATGTAAAAATGAATATTATTGAATTATTAAGTTATAAAGACAGTAACCTTATTGTTCATTACTATAATTCTGAAAAAATGTTTTTTTCTTACACAGATACCTGAAGATACAGGATGCAGTGAGGAGGACCTGGACTACAGGTGGGGAGAGGACATGAAAGCAACAGAACTGACCAAAACTGCCCCTGAATCCCACTCATCAACGCCCCTGGAGTCTGACGGCTACATTAACTCTGAAACAAGAGGCAGAACAAATAGTCAACAGAGTGAGCACCTGTCGTCACAGGTAGGGATGGAAGCAACACCTCAAATAACACCTGCCAGTGTGTGCAGCTCTACAACAGGTAGGCGGCGCCTCAGAAAACGTGGGCGCCCTCAAAAAGAACAACCATTGTTAACTGAAGACAAAAAAGATCCAGATACTGCCGGTCCTGATGCAGTTCAGCATATGGAGATAAGCACAACAACATCTTTGACAGCATGTGTAGAAAACCATAACAGTGATGATGTACCTAATACCATAGATGGTCCTTTAATCAAGAATTCAGATCCTCACACTGTTTCTGATGATAAAGAAGAAGATGGTGTTCCTGTATTACCAAAAAGAAAAAGAGGACGGCCCAAAAAATCAGAAATTGCTGCTTTAAAAAACATGGTTCCTGTCACTGTCAGTGTACCTGCTGGTCCTGCTCATACTAATAATTTTAGTGGTCCTTCACAGAGACTGAGGAGTAGAGGAGGGCAACATCTTTTAACACAAGATGAAAAGACTCATTCTGAAAGTATGGTAGACCCCAAGCAAACTGAACTGATTCGTACAGAAAGTAGTACAACATCCAACTTTCAAAGGGTTAAAAGAAGAAGACCTAAACTGGCTGATCAGCAAGTTCCAGCTATAGTGTCCAGACTGGACAGTTCCCATGAGGCCACACCAGGGTTGTGCAATGACACAGACTGTGTGGAGAGCGCAGAGACACATAAGCAGGTGGAACTGAACACTAAAAAACAGGAGACTGATTCAGATGAAAAGGGAGTTCAACTCTCACTGCAGTATGGAGAAGTCCAAGAGCAACAGACAGAACCTAAGGAAGCTCAATTGCCACAAACAAAACTGTGTTCTCTACCAGCAGCTGAGCCTGACATTACTCCTCCAGAGAGTCTGAATAATCTAAATGTGGTAAGCCCTACTCAAAGTGATGACCCCACAATAAAACAGATGGTGGCCATGAATGGCAATGAAGAGTCACAATCAGAAACTGGCCTTGACACCTCCAAGGATGCAAATTTGCCCCAAAATACAGAGTCATCGACCACAGAGGTCATATTGCCCTCTGAAGAAACACGTAAACCTGCTGGGATACCCCCTGCTGTTAAAACAGAGAATATAGATATAGAGCTGGATTGTTTAAATCAGATTTCAAATTTGTCAGAGGCAAATAGTCCCAAATCTTTACAATGCAGTGCCAACACCACAGTTAAATCGGAGGGTCCAAACAGCCAGCAAAACACTTTCAGGCGTAAGAGAGGCGGCAAAAGGAAGAGGAGAATAAGCAGTGTTTTGATACAGAAAGAGCAACTGGTAGAAGGCCAGGAAGGCAGCACTGACACTCAACAAAAAGCAGACTGTGGTGACATGGCTGAGGAGGCCAGCACAAATTTCATCTACACTAAAAAAGGAGGAAAAACTCTGCTGAAATGTGGTTACTGCAGCCGAACATTTAAATTTCTGTCTCAATTCATCATCCATCAACGGATTCATACAGGAGAAAGACCTTTCAAATGTTCAGAATGTGGCAAAGGTTTTAGCAAAAACTCAAACTTAAATCTTCATCTTAAAACACACAGAAAGAGCAACATGTATCAAAAATGTACATTTTGCAAGATCAAATTCTCCTGCTCTGAGTATGTGTCTCATATGAAGCTTCATACCCGTGAGCCAGACCAGGACTCGGAGAATAACAAATGTGAAAAACGGAGCAGAACCAACAACCGTGAAACCAGTCAGGGACTTCATACACCAGTTTCTCCAGAAAAGAGAGAAAGAAAAGTGTGTCAGTACTGTGGTAAAACATTCCCATTCCAGTCTGCTCTCATAAGACATGTGCGTGTCCACACGGGGGAGAAGCCTTATAAATGTGATATATGTGGCAAAGCCTTTGGTCAGGCCTATTTCCTGCGTGTTCATGAGCTGACACACTGGTCTGTGAAGCGCTACACCTGCACACGTTGTGAGAAATCATTCACTCATTATAGCAATGCAAAAAATCACACATGTAGACCTACGGGAAGTGATGACGAGCCTCAACCCAACAGAAGCGTAAAGCCTTCACTAACATACACGTGCCACATCTGCAAGAATGTCTGTAATCATCTGCAGGAGTTCAACAGTCACATGAGAGCCCACACCGGTGCTAAGCTTTATCGCTGCTTGTATTGTGATAAGCTCTTTGGTGTGCTCTCTGAATTTGATGCCCATCGCAATCAGTGTAGAGGAGAGAAAAAGCCCTCCAGCTCTGCAGTAGAGGAGGAAAAGACAATGTCTTTAATACAGTACACAGTACCTGCTCTTCGGTATTCACTGGGACACAATTCATCTTCTCTCACAGCTGCAAACTGTGAAACACAGAAAAAACAATCACAGACAAGATCCAAGAGACACTTTGCCAAGACACCATTCCAGTCAACAGTCATACCGGCTCACTACCTCGTTTCAGCGTTAAACAAACTAGATAACAGATCCGACCCCAGGAAATATCTATGTCCAAGCTGTGGGCGACTGTTCAGACACATGGGCAGACTGCGGGCCCACATGCTCACTCACGCCCCAGGTCAAAGTTACACATGTGCCTGTTGTGGTAAGACACTGGAAAACTGGAAAAAACTGTGGCATCACCAGAGAATCCACCGACAGCGGCATGGCCGCTTCACTTGTCGTCAGTGCGGCCAAGGCTTTCGATTTGTGGAGCCTTACAAAAAACACATGAGTGAGCACCCAGAGTTCCAGTGGGTTCAGGTCAGGCCTAAGAAGGTGTTTCTGCCTTATCAGTGTGAGCAGTGCAGATGCAGCTTTAAGACTCTAGATTTGCTGTTCAGTCATCAGTTCTGCCATTCCTCCATGCAAGACACGCACAAGGACTCTGATTTTGATTTATCCATAGATGATCATAATACACAGTCTAACAAGAAAATGGTTAGCCCCCCCACAAACAACCATATTGCAACGTTACATCAAGGACCAGAGGAACAGAACTCTCCACTGAGCCCTGTAACCATATATCCAGACCCAGTTCCCCAACAGTCGCCTTTATCACCCATGATTTCCTTAGTCCAAAATCAGGGGCTTTGTTTGGGGAAAACTTCCCTGCATCCCAGCAGCACAGTTTCGATGCAAGATGGGGAAACCAGTTATGAAAGAGCACGCAGACGTCTACTGGGAAACCCAATCACACATTTGAGAACTGTGAAAAGACACCCAACCCAAAATGTGAGCATATCGACTGAAGGGTCTTCAGATGGAGTTAAGTGTGCTTTGTGTGGTGATACCTATCATGCCATTTCTGACCTGTATCACCATTATTTGCAGCATGCTAGAGGCCAGGTGTAAGAACCTTACCAGAGATATGGCACCCTTCTACTGTATATGTACATCAAGGTGTTTTCAGTGTTTAACACAGAGTCCTAGATTAGAAATGATTGAAACATTTTCTGTTTAACGCCTGGAGAAGTTAGAAAAAAATTTGGAAATTATATTCAACCGCTAGTCAGTTTAAAAATTTTGAAGATAAACATTGAATGTCCAAACTAATGGACTTTTTTCCTTTCATGACGTTTGTTAGGCAGGGCGGGGTAGAAGCCACTAACCTGCTACGGCAGTTTGGTCAGTCATAAGAAACAGAGACAATTTAAAATGTGAAACAAGATGATTATGAACAACTAGTCTGTGAACTGCAAGTCTGTGTTCAGGAGATGTCCCAAATGTTTTGTACATTGTGTAATAATGCTTAACCAGAAGCAGCCCTGGAATAATATAATTGACTATAAAAACTGTGCATTTGAACACAAATTAGACTGTATGTAAATGACAGATCATAGGAAATCAGAGTTTGAATAACAAATATTAAAGAGCCCATGGGGTGCTTTTCCTTGTTTTCTGACTTATCTACAATGTTACAGTGGTGAAATTATCATCTTAGACATGTTCTAGTTTTTCAATACAGAAGCAACTTGCTGGAAATGAGCAATATGAGCATGCCATGGGCTCTTTAAGTGAAATAGCCACTGAAACATTTTTATCCCTGATTCATTCTTGTTGCTGTGTATCTTTTTCTAATTTATACCAGGAGAGGTATGTAATCCATCTAGTGTGGGGCGATATCAGTAATTGATCAGAGGGTTGGAGGTGACACTGAGTAAATTCATAAACAGGTTTTATTCAGCAAACCTGAAAAATTGCAGCAGTATTATCAAGATTTTATATATTTAATGTGCAGGTTTTCTCAATATGTTGTCCATTGATTAGTATGACCAGTTAGGTGAATAGTAGCTGTATAGTTTTGCAAACAGTCTCACCTCATCATGATGCATTCATTTACTTCAGATCATGATCTAATCTTGATTTACAGCAGCTGCTCAGTGTAGGGCTGACTTCAAATTTGTTTTCTTCTGGTCTGCAAAGATATACATCTGCATTTTCTGTTTACTTTTGTAATGCTCATGTTTGTCAGTGAATTGTCTTTATCTTGGACTTGTAAAATAATGATTGAAATCAAGTGAGACTAAATTGTTTGAATATTACTGACAAACATTCCACAGCTGCTGTATACCGAGTAAGTTTAGTTGAGCATCCATTACTGTTCAATGCTGTGGAAATACTACATGTTTCGATGCCAAACACAATTTTATTGGAATCATCCATCCATCCGTCCGTTATATATACTGCTTGTCCTGCAGATTGTCGTTCGGGCTGGAGGCTATCCTAGCTGACAATGGACAAGAGGCAGGGTACACCCTAGAGAGGTCGCCAGTCTATCACACTTAGAGACAGACGACCACACACACTCACTCCCATGTGCAATTTAGAGTCACCAATCAACCTAAGCTGCATGTCTTTGGACTGTGGGAGGAAGCTGGAACACCTAGAGAGAACCCACACTGGCACAGGGAGAACATGCCAACTCCCCACAGAAGGGCCCCCGGTCAGCCTGGGTTCAAACCCAGAACCTTCTTGCTGTGAGGTGACAGCACTAACTACCGCTGTATTGGAATCATGAAAAATTGTATTATAAAAGATGTTACTCAGATGGACACCTTTCTCTGTTGTATAAAACTTTATGCTATAGTTCGTCTTAAAAACAATAAAGGTCATTTTCTATTGATAATAGTTTCTGTTGTTTTTAGGTTAAGATTTGTTCCCTCTGAATAGTTAAAACATGAGAGACTGTAGCCACAATTACAAACTATTTCTGTTGATGATATGATGCTGAGGTTTATTGAAAGGTGATTTCTTTTTTTTTTTGCATTTTGATTCTACATAAGAGAAGTAACTTGTGAATGATTTTTTTATATAGTGTGTCACATTTAATACATGTAGGTTAGAAAGTTAGGTTGGGTTTGTCTACTTCAATAAAAAAAGCTATAAAATAATGCTGCTGCTGTATGTTTTAATAGTACAAAGTGATGAGTCTGAGTCCGTACTAGTGCTCAGTCCAGAAGCCAAACAGATGAGTCAGTATTGAGGTATTTTTATTTATTGAAGGCATAAACGGTCCCCTGTCTCACAACAAATGACTGTTAAGTGACTTTAGTTGGAGGACATGGTGTTACGAATCCAGGCGTTGTAGTTGCAGACCTTGGTGTAGACTCCAGGCCTGTTCCTCTGGGCACAGCCATAACCCCAGGACACTATGCCCTGCAGCTGATTGTTGCACACCACGGGGCCACCAGAGTCACCCTGATAGGACACAGACAGAAAGAACAAGGTGTGAGCAGAGGTGTTCTGAAATTTGGCATGTCCATATGAAGAAACGGAGGATCACTTTAGCTGGTACCTGGCAGGAATCTTTGCCTCCCTCAAGGAATCCAGCACAGAACATGTTGGCGGTGATCTCCCCGGGGTAGGAGTTCCTGCAGCTGGTGTCACTTAGGATGGGGGCATCCAGGCACATCAGACGATCAGGGTAATTGCCTAAAGGAAAAATTCAATACATGTAAATAGTCATACCTAATCACAACCATGTGTTAAAAATCCTTCAGATATGTCTGCAGTGTTTTACTGACTTGAAGAGCTGCTGATGTTGCCCCAGCCAGAGATCAGACAGTAGGTGCCTGCACTGGCACAGCTAGAGGGCAGGGACACAGTCTTTATATTGCTGCTCAGGGTGGCGGGCTTGCTCAGCTTGATCAGCATGATGTCATTGTCCAGGTTGTAGCTGCTGTAGCCGGGGTGACGGATGACCTTAGCAGAGTTGATGGACTGCTCTGTGCCCTCACTGACGGCGATGTTGTGTTCACCAAGATGCACCTCAATGCGACTGCAGAGGGAGGCATGAGAAGATCATTAATTCAATGTTCAGTTCCACTTGTAATCAGGTTACCACTATCTGTAATTCAAAATATAGGCCTAAGTACTGTGCCTGACAAAACGGTTTTGCCAGTTTTAACCAAAAAAAGTTTAGCAATTAATGTTAACAGGCTTGTGGTAAAATTTCAGTCTTACAATCAAGTGTCTGCACTTACGACTGGTAGCAGTGAGCAGCAGACACCACCCAAGTGCTGGAGATCAGGGAGCCTCCGCAGAAGTGGTAGCCAACGTTCAGAGAGACCTGGTAGGGCACTGTATTCTTTCTGCATTCGTAGCCTCCAACAATCTTGTCATCGTCATTAAAGGGAGCAGCATCTGAAGAAAGCAGAGAGTGTGACATTATTAATGTCTTGTAGGACACCAGTTTTCAAAGAAATCTTAAAGTAAATAGCTGACCACAATGGTCAAAATAACTTTAAAAAGTAAGCAAAAAGTAAAATTAGTTTAGTCTTCACACTCACATGCCACTGCGAACAGAGCCAGAAAGATGAAAGCCTTCATGGTGGATGCTGTTGGTGTGTGTCAGTGTCAGCTCAGTTGTACTGCAGACCCTTTATACCCACTTTGTCCCTTTGTTATCTGATTGGCCAAGGACGTGTGTTTCCATTTCCACCCTTCTCTTGCTGACCAACCTGTGAGAAAACACATCTGGAAGATACGAGCAAACATATTGACCACGTGTGCTTTAGTCCCACCACCAGTCACGTACACTTGGTCTATAAACTAACAGCTTGCTTGAAACATTGTAGGAGTTTAAGGCAAATCGTGGTGCATTTTATATTATTTTTAAACCACTTGTTTATCTTTCAAAGAATGTGCTACATTTTAGTAGTTTTGTTCAGAGGTTACTATCATTTGGAGGAAAGCACATTTACTTTAACATCAACATTTATCTAAGTGTATTTTATTTATGATGTTTATATTTTCCAATTAAAGATACATATACTGTCTCCTGTTTTTTTTCTGGTTCAGACCCTGATTTTTAACCTACTGACTACAAAACAATGTAGAAGCAAGTGTGAAAATATCAAGCTGCTTATTTTAAGGCAATATAATTGTAAATGTATAAAAATAATTCTGTGACATTACTATCACACATCATTGCTTTATATATGAATACTGGATTCATCCTTTGTGAATTTCTCTGTTGTTTAGGAATGGACAGTACTTGTTCTCAAATATTTCTCTGAGATTTCAATGATCATATTTTTTAATGGTTGTAGATGCTAGGGTTACACATAAGATCAGTTCAAGTATGAAATTATAGGATCCCAAAAACAGCAGTGCTTAGTACTCTCTTTTTTGTCACAATGGTGAACTAAAGCAAGCACATTCATATGCATGACAGAGAACTATTTTTTGTTGGAAATGTCCAGTACATGGTGGTAAATATTGAAATACTGGCTGAGTTGCCTAAGGGTGTGGTAAATAATTTTACTGATGTGAGTAAATGAAAATGTCAAATTATTTTGTACAATTTCTAAACGTGTATTTCAAAGTACTGAACCCTACTTCTTATTGTAAAACCTATACAATTCATTTTATTTTCATTTCATAAGGTTTCTTATCTCAAATAGCCTAATAGTGGGAGGGATTTAATTTTGTGGCAGGCTGATTTTTTTAAGCTATAATTTTATTTTTCAGATTTATGCAGGGTGTGTGAGTTTTTGGGCATGTTTCATCTTTTCATTCCTAAAGAAAGAGTATTACCCTTCCTGTTGATTCTCTTCATTGATAAACATATGCTTTATTTAATAGTACAAAACAAGAAGTGATAGAGAGTAAGGCTGATATTAATAATTTATTTATTGAAACATATCATAGTCAGAGCTTCCATAGTAAAGTGACTTTAGTTGGAGGACATGGTGTTACGAATCCAGGTGTTGTAGTTGCAGACCTTGACGTAGTCTCCAGGCCTGTTCTTCTGGGCACAGCCATAACCCCAGGACACCACACCCTGCAGCTGACCATTGCACACCACAGGGCCGCCAGAGTCAACTTGATAGGGCCCAGACAGAAAGAACAAGGTGTGAGTAGTGGCTTCCTGAAGTTTGGGGGGTCTATTTGAAAAAATGAAAATGAAAAACTTTAGCTGGTACCTGGCAGGAATCTTTGCCTCCCTCAAGGAATCCAGCACAGAACATGTTGGAGGTGATCTCCCCGGGGTAGGAGTTCCTGCAGCTGGTGTCACTTAGGATGGGGGCATCCAGGCACATCAGACGATCAGGGTAGTTGTCTAAAGGAAAAATTCAATACATGTAAATAGTCATACCTAATCACAACCATGTGTTAAAAATCCTTCAGATATGTCTGCAGTGTTTTACTGACTTGAAGAGCTGCTGATGTTGCCCCAGCCAGAGATCAGACAGTAGGTGCCTGCACTGGCACAGCTAGAGGGCAGGGACACAGTCTTTATATTGCTGCTCAGGGTGGCGGGCTTGCTCAGCTTGATCAGCATGATGTCATTGTCCAGGTTGTAGCTGCTGTAGCCGGGGTGACGGATGACCTTAGCAGAGTTGATGGACTGCTCTGTGCCCTCACTGACGGCGATGTTGTGTTCACCAAGATGCACCTCAATGCGACTGCAGAGGGAGGCATGAGAAGATCATTAATTCAATGTTCCACTTGGATGTGTTTCCATTTCCATCCTTCTGGTAGCAGTGAGCAGCAGACACCACCCAAGTGCTGGAAATCAGGGAGCCTACACAGAAGTGGTAGCCAGTGTTCAGAGAGACCTGGTAGGGCACTGAGTTCTTTCTCCACTTGTAGCCTCCAACAATCTTGCCATCTCATCAACTCAGATTCTATCACCACAAAATATAGAAGAACTTACAAGCAGCAAACAGGGCCAGGATAATGAAGTACTTCATGATTGTGTTCTGCACCTGCTGAGCCTACACAGCAGGAGCAGATGGACTGGGTTCATATACAGATTGAATACATAGCCTGACACCTCTTTATCTAAACCTGTCAAGGATTTTTCCATGCACTATGCAGTATGATTAAATATTATCCCACCTGGGAAACATCAGGATGGTCAAGGAAAAGAACACTGGATTTTCATGAATCATTCTTTTTAAAGGTGACATCTGCAGATCCAGCCTTTAATGTTCGAAAATTCTTATATATGCATTAATTACAAAATAAAATTAGCACAAAGGGACAGAGGATAGACAAATGTAGGGAGAAAGACAAATCAGTTATTTGTTGTTTTAAAACTTACAATCAGAATATATCAGAATCAGAAAATTATAATTATCATAATATAAATTGGAAGTAGACATAAGCAGGTGATTGATTATTGCTGTAATGCATATCTATAATCTGCTGGGATCAGTAATTATTATAGACACAGGTTCAAATAGTTTACGATCTTATACCTGGGTAAATTATTAATAATATAACTGAAAGTTTGTGGAAAGGATGTAAAGGTGTAAAATGGTACAGATTATACAGACAATATAGACAAAATGCAGAATCTTTCATTTTTGTGGGAGAAATGGCTTCATTCTAATCAAATTCAATATTATGTCAGACTTTATTCTCAATATGCTTGTTAGAAGAATGTATATTTTTGCATACTCATCTGACTTGCTTTGCACTGACCAATCTTCATCTTGCAATCAATTAATCTGACGCGTTGTAAATGAACACTGTTGTTATTTCCCGGGGCCTTTCTATGAATGTTAATTTACTGTACATGTGCCTTCCTGGTTCCTTCTAGGAAATAACAATATAGGCTACAACCATACAACCAGGACGGCACATTAAACAGAGGCAAATCTCTGAATTTTTATTGGTCTTGAACGTAACCTCTCGGTGACGTCATTAGAAAGCGACTGTGTTCGGTTTGTGTTTCGGCTGCTGAGCTAACAGCTGTACCAATTGTGTTTTGGTTTTGTTTTGCCTCCCATGTGTCATTATCGCGAGGTAAGAAGTACAACAGTGTCATGTTTCTAATCATGACTGCTCAGCCGTCGCTATCAGTTCAGACAAAGCTGCTGCTTTACCTGAAGCTATGGTAGCCCGTTAGCTAACAGTTAGCTCCATTGCAAAATCTGCACCTAATGTATGCGGAATGCGCAACCATTGCGGATGTGGTGCAGAAAAAATGCGCATCGATGCGACAGAATACATAAGTCAGCATCACTAAGAAATACGAACATAGCTATTTTAAAATGCTGCGTAGCTGTAAGCAGTGTTGTGTTTTGTTGTATTTCAGCTCTGAAGGCGATTCTCTGCTGGATGTTGGATCTCACTGTAAAAAAGCTGGACGTTTAGTTGTAGCTCTCGGCCTACCCCTAGTGTTTTTATACAGTGGATATATGTTTTCATTTGTCTTTCAGTGTACATGAAAAGTGAAAAGTGTTCAGTGTACACTCAGACATGATCGTGTCTCATACTAAGCTGCAACAATGACTTAAATAATTTATTGAATAGAGTTGAAGAATACTTTCTTGGGTTACATTAACTCACCGTTTCCTAAGAAAACACTCCACAGTGTGTGTGGCAGCTGTACCCAAAGCAAATAAATTATTTTCTGATGCAGTATACTGAAGAGTTGTAATGTCTTTTAGCAGTAGGTTCAGATAGACCTTGAACTTGTATTAATGGGGCAGCAGCTGTCACAATCAGAATTGGCCCGCGAGTCAATTCGGCTATAAATTAGGTCTGACCCATGACTGAGTACTACGAGGAGGGGGGGCTGCTGTATGAGCAATCACCTCCCATGCACATCAAAGTGGAGTCTCCGGAGGGACCCTTTGGAGGGGGAGCCTCAGAAAACGGCTTCCCCAGGGAGGATGAGGACTCAGAGGGCAGCTGTGACCAGAACAGTGGATTACCAGGGGGGCTCCCCTTTAACGTGGTAGTTGTGCATCCGAACATCATGGCACCTGGCATGTCTTCAGATGACCTGTTGTCCATTGAACAAAGTAAGTATGGAAGAGATTAAACCCATTATGGGAAAAACCAGGATTTGACATTTTCTTGTTTATTGGTAAATGTCTACAGAAATTGTGGCTCCCAATGGAAACACTATATCGACCATGTACACCTACAGAATTATTCATAAACTGATTTTTATCTGCAGGCACAAATACAGTGAGGATATACATTCATACATTTCATTTATACAAACACCTGCAGCACCTACTAAAGAACATTTAGCTCCTCCAGAAAAAGCTGAAGTAAAATGATATCAATATTAGTCTCAGTGATCTATGACTTGCCAAAAGTAACTGTAGTTATAATATAATTTGGTATAGTGAAAAGGCTGATGCTGTTAAAGCACATTTTTCCTCTTCACAGAGTATATTTAGCTTCACTTGATATTTTTCCTCTCCCTTTTGGTCCATCTTCTCATCTTTATCTTTACAGATAGAGCTATGTCGGCTGCACTGGCTGCTGGTGGTGCAGGGAAAAGAAAGAGTCGTTTCAGTGGAGCAGAGCTGGAGGTTTTAGTGTCAGAAGTCACTCGGTGTGAAGGAGAGCTCTTTGGTCCTGCAGGGAGGCTCCGGCGGCGGGAAAGAGAGCGCATCTGGGCGGGAATCCTGGAGAGAGTCAATGCTGTGTCCAGAGTTCCACGTACGCTTCGAGAGGTGAAGAAACGTTGGGATGACTTAAAGAGACGCAATGGAGGCAGGCTGGCAGATGCCCGCCACCGCAGCTGTTACCGGCCATCCAGCAGAGGGGCCTCAATGCTTGGGCGTCCTTCCCAGCCAAGCCCCAGGCTTCAGCAAGCCAGGCAAAAGCAAAGCACCAGAACAAAGCCCAGTTTCTCATGTTTTCCTGACTCTGACACAGGTAAAAATAACTTGTCTGATTACTCGGCTGCTTTTCTGTGTAGAGTCTATAGGTGAAACTAAGAGCTACTGTGGTTATGTCCACTTAACCTATTTTGCAGGTGTAGGAATGGAAGGGTCAGAGAGAGATGGTTTGGAGAAAGATGAGGACAATCCTGAGCGTGAGAGAGACATGGGAGAACCTGATTGTGAACCAGTAGAGAACAGCATGGAAGACAAACTGGGATTAGGACTGGGTCTGGGTATAGGACCACCCCCTCCATCAGAACGATGGCTGCCTCCTTCCCCTCTCTACAGTGCTCCCTTCCTCAATGGCAGCCCTCAGCCCAGCAGTCCTCAGCCATCACTTGGAGCACAGCAGGGCTCTCTGGAAGCCCCTCCACGCAGTTCCTGGCTTGAAGATGAGCTACGAGGGTTAGGGGAAGCAGCTATTCAACTGGGAAATCGGGTAGAAAAGAGTCTGCGGGAGTTTGGGGAAGGTTTCAGACAGGACATGAGAACACTTGTTGCTTCGCAAGAGGCATTAGCAGTCAGTCTACAACAAAACAATGTCCTGTTGCAAAGGCTATTAGGAGTGCTTGAGGCCCAGCAACAACCACAGCCACAGCAACATCGTGTACAACAAGTACACCATTTACAAACATCTCAACAGCACTTACAGCCACAGACATCTCAGCAGCAGCTACAACATACAGAACCACAACAGCAACAGCAGATTGAAACAACACAGCAGTCACAACTACAGCATCAGCAGCAGTCACATGCTGTACAGCAACAGCCCCAGAAGCACCAAACACAAATACAGCAGCAGTCACAGGTCACCCAGCATTCGAATAATCAGTCAACTGTTGCAGTGGTGCCTGCGCCATCACCCCCCGTCATACATGGCACTTTTCCCTCTAATACTTCCACAGACACAAATGGAAATATGCAGAGGCCACGACGAGGAAGAGCTATTGATCACAGGCGCAGAAGACGGCGCTGAGGAGAAAGTACTTTAAAACTTGAAGTGCACATCATGTATATTTGGAGTTTAAAAATGTGACAAGAAATGATGCTCTTTTTCTATTGACAGTATTTCTGTAAACATAACATGAGGTGTTTGGAGTTTTACTCATTCCAAGTCACTAATCCATCTTGCACATATGTTTTTCATCTGAGTGGACAGAAGTGGATAAAACAATTAGACACATAAGGTAATAGGGTGGCCTTAATTTGAGCTTGGTTCTTCAGACAAGTCTACATATACATGTGCTAAAAGACTTCCTGAGAAACAGTTACTCTTTGGAGTGATAACTTTACTCCTGAAACTTTCAATATCCAGACAACAACATATTGTAGGTGCTGATGTCTAATATGCATATCACTGTACATGATGTGCAGCAGAGCTGCAAAGCTCATGATGCCCTTACTAGTCCACTAATGTCTCAGTTCTTCTGATACACTAACTGCATTGTTAAAAAGTACTTGTAATCTGCAGTTGTTACCATATATTGTAGTTATTCAGCTGTTGTATTTACCTGCTAATGTATGCTTGTGCTTTTTTAATATGGTACATACTTTCCAACTTTGGTTGGGCAATAAAGTTACTGTATTATGTTCAGTGCACTTTGAGGCAGAAATGTTACATTTTAAAGAACTGCCAGTATTGGTGATGTATGAAAAACAGGCTTAAACCTCACATTAGGCTTCAGACTTTAATTCATATGCTTCTGGTGGAAGTAGGGGCTATTTATTCTAAGCTTGCATGCTTGATGGATGTTTGTAGATAGTTGCAAAAAAACAGTATATGGCCATCATCTATGTAGTTTTGCACAAGCTATAATTTGTAGATATATGTTCTGATGGTATGTAACTAAACTTTAATAAAAGTCAGACATGGACTGCAAATACATCCAGCTGGTCACATGTGTATTTGTGCGTGTGTGTATGTGTATATATCTATATATATATATATATAG